GACAAGTAGGGAAATGTCTCTAACCAAAAAGAAAAGAAGTCCAGTTGCCATGACTCAACCTCCAGTCTACTTTAGTTTGTATTAGTTCTTAGTATTGTGGTTAAAACTCTCAATAAAAATTATAGATAGATAGAGGAAGATCCAAGGTAATTGACAAAGGTAGATCTCAAAAATCCTCCTTATTCCACTAGCTCTTTCATGCAGCAATATTCTTTGATCTTTGTCCCTCTTGTTTCCTCCAGAGGAAATGTCTGATTCCTGTCAACTTTTCAAATGTTGGGAATAAATTGATAACACATTGGTGGAGCTCTTCAGGTGTTTGGAATTGCATCCAGATGAGAAATAGCTTAGGTAATTAACTGTCCAGCATTTCCCACTTTACTGGTGCTTAATTGCCAGCTGGAATTTAGTTTGGTTAGCCAGACTTAATTTTCAACCATGGCAGAGCTATATCAATATCATTAAGCATATGATGTTAAACATTTTTGACTCATTTGAAAGGACAGCTGGGGAAAGGTTAAGGGGGAAATGGATGTGTTTTGTCTTGCAGGAACTTAACACATTCCTTCCCACACTTTGTTATTGTTTTTAAGTACAAATCTATGGCTCTAAAATTTGGCCATTTAGTCACTGATTTCAGTGATGTAATCTTGGATAACTCTTAAGAGCAGCAACATGGAGATTCAGGGGTTGCATGTGACCTGAATTATTTTGTTGTGTGAAGACAGCCATTGTGCATGAGTGTGAAAGTTAGTCCTTATGCTGGCTAGGAGATCAATAGAATGTTGTAAACAATCTTTAGGTGCAGGCTGATCTCCTCCCCCTTGGGATGCATTAGCAGGAGTATAAAGCATTTGAAGTATTTGTTCATCGCTAGCATGTCCTGGTCAGACCTCACTTGGAATACTGTGTCCAGTTTTGAGCACCACAATTCAAAAAGGACAGTGACAAATTGGAATTCAGAAGTCCTACTAAAATGATGAAGGATCTGGCAACCAAGTGCTGTGAGGAATGGATACATGATCTGGATATGTTTAGCGTAAAGAAGAGAGAACTGAGGGGACATGATAGCTGTCTTCAGATATCTGAAGATTTGTCCCACAGAAGACAGATTCAACTTATTTGTTGCCCCAGAGGGCAGGACCAGAATCAATGTGTTAAAACTACAAGGAAGGAAGTTCTGACTAGGTGTCAGAAGGAATTTCCTGATGGTAAGAGCTGTCATTTATTTATTTATTTATCATATTTATATAGCCGCCCATCTCACACAAGGTGACTCTGAAACTGGCTGCCACATAAAGTGGTGAATCCTCCTTTGCTGGATCATGCACTGAGTTGGGGATTGGACCAGATGAGTTCTAAGGTCCCTTTCAGCTTTATGGTCAAATACTTGAGTGCAATTGTCCTCAATCTCTATGCCCTATAGAGTTTCAGACTTCAGTCTCCAGAATTCCTCAAGGATGTTACTGAGAAATCCACACATCTGAAGGAAACCTAGATTGGGGAAGACTGTGAAACCTTATGAAAAAGGGCTCTCAGTTTCTCTCATCTTTATTTCCTTACATTTGGAAACCAAAGGGATGACAAGGAAACTAATGTTCATGAACCTTCACACATTTCTCTCATTTCTGTTATT